GTCATATATATATATATGGATAGTATGTAGGCCATACTTATATGAATGTTGCATTAAAATCCGTTTACATGTTTGATACAGAAGAAAGTATTTGGATTCGTTTACCAGATTTACCAGCACCAACTAGTGGTGCTGGAATAGCTTTTCATAACGATTCTATTCATTTACTAGGCGGTTTTGATATTATTCTTAATCGTTCTGTTGTTCATGGTGAAGTATGTTCGTTCATATATAGAATTAATTCAAATTAAATGATATTTATCTAGTATATTGTATTAAATTTAAAAAATACAGATCAAAATTGGATTCGTCGAACTGAAATTGTTCCAGGTCGAGCACGACCATTACTTTTAATTGTACCTGATCCTCACAATCCAAATGAAACTGCTATTTATAGTGCTGGTAAATATAATCCTGTTTTTTCTCGTATTTTGAATTTATTTATTTATTGAGGTGGTTATGATATTGATAGTTCTCATAAACCACATTCAGTTACTCGTCTAGAATATTATAATGAACGTTTTGAACGATGGGAATTCATGGATACAATTGAAAATTTACAGTTAGAATATGGTTTATCTTATACTAATAATAAATTAAACGTTATGGCTAATGATATACGTTTACAACAGTATGATTTTCGCACAAGAAAATGGACAAAATCTATCGTAAACAATGTCTTGAAAAAGAATAACAATTCATTATTATGATGATAATGATAAATAGAACGGTCATTTTCTACGACTACTCGATCATTGGTTATCATAGAGTGCTAATGACAATGGTTATTTCTTTGAAGTTGATACTGTTGCTTTAAGAAATATTGAAAAAAAGGACAAGTTCCTCTTTTTTTTCTTCTTCTTAATAGCTTTATTTAAATATGTAATTGATGCTGACAAAGAAAAACCGCGACGAATGTCAATCATTTTTCCTTTTTATTCGACCATAAATGAATCATAGATACACATCCGCAATTAACTTTATGTATGTATTGTTTCAAGTAGTTCTATAGAAAAAAGTGGTCATTGGCCGGCGACAATAAGTGTAAATGAGTTTTTTGCATGCAATGTATGCACAGACAGTTATAAGAGTGATAGACATCAAATCGACGATGATTTCTTTTTTTCTCCTTTCCCTGTAATACTGACACTATTCGCATGATAGGACATTGAAGAATTGTAGGACAAAGATAAACGAATAGAGATAGAGAGAAACAGACTTCCGGCGCCTTGAATCATTGTAAGGCGGAGTAGTGAAGGAAGAGAAAAGCAAACTTAATATTACTATTGTAGAATAAGAAGTAATAGTAACTGTTGCGCTACTTGCCGGAAGTTCGTTCACTCTTCTCTACATTACGCGATTTGAGAAAACGACTCTCATCTCCTCTTACTGTCACTTCGAGGAGAATAATGCATCGCTCTTCATCAATGAATAATAGGTAAATGTGAATCATTTATATAAATTAATTTATATAACTATACAAAAAAAAAGCAAAGAGAATCTTCTTTTTATTCAAAGAAAAACCGAGTTGAAAACAAGAAAAATTCTGTTTTTTTTCGTTCTTATATGAATGTTTCACATTTCTTGCACCATCCTTGGTAAGATTGTGTACATCCGGATAGTTTAACATTGCCTTCTTCAGCATATAACATTAAGTCATGAGTTGGTTTACCACGTACTGTTGGAATAACATCATCTCGACTTTTACATGTTGGACATACAGGTAGACCGGATCGCTTTTCTTTGTAAGATTCATCGAATTTTTTTCGTTGCTCGTCGCTAAGTACATTGTTATCAGCCATATTATTTCTTCTTATGATCAAAATAAAATGAGAGCTTATTCATGTACACACATACTCTTTTTATAGATGTATTACAGGTGAGGAAAGAAGAAAAACAACAGAACAAAAAAAACGAAACTTTGACTAACAAAATATTATAATTCGTTTTCAGATATATATATATAGATGACGCAATATGACAAGCCTCATTAAAAAGAGGCGTGATTATGTTCAACAAAATATGTATCAATTAAAATGTTACTTCTAAAAAGTATATTATAACGAAATATTTTTAAATCTCATATCTATTCTAAATTTAGTTCTTTGGATTTTAATTTTTATTGTTCTTAACATCTCATGTTCAATGTATTATTTAAATGATTTTCATACCGACTATCCCGATGCACATGTTATACTTGCTAATTGTGGTGATACAATATCACTTTCTTGTCCTACAGAATCCGATAATGATCTTATTCGATCAACATCTACAGTAAGAAACATTTTTTTGATATATTTTATCATAATCGTTTTTCTCTCTCTCTCTCTCCCATCATATATATAAAGATACCAGCAATGTGGTTTCGTTTATATGAAAATGCTTATCCACAAGCTTTAATACTTGGTGATCGTCAATTAATCGATGATCAACGTTTTATGTTACGTACACAAAATAATGATCGTCATCTTGAAATAGTCGGTGCAAGAAAAGATGATCAAGGTTATTATATATGTAAGACAGGAACTGTAATTCGATCAAGTTATAATTTAACAATTATAAGTATGAAATTTCATTATAATAAGAAAGAAGACAAATTTCATTTATTTTTATCCATTCTAGCTAATACATGTATTGATATAATTCCGAATGATATACATGTAAATATAAATGAAGCAATTCGTCTTATATGTCGTATACGTTCAACAGATGCATTTAATGAACAAAATCTACGTGTACAATGGACACGTAATGATTATCCATTAATAAATATAGCTGAAAGTCTTTCGAATTATTCTTCAATTGATGGAACACTTTATGAAACATTAATTATACGAAAAGCACGAAAAATTGATACCGGAATATATACATGTCGATATGGTGAATATTTAACTGCAACAGCTCATGTTATTGTCAACCAATGTAGATTAATTTTTGTAATTATTATCTATATATATACGTTTTTCTTCTTCTCTTTAGATCCTGGTGGTAGTAAATCTCGTCGTTTAATATCACATATAACAAATAACAGTTCATTATTAAAAGCATCTTTACGAACAGTAGTCTGTTTTTTTTATATTGTATATCAAATTGTTTTTGTCTTATCATCGTAAATATATATATATAAATTTATTAGTTTTTGAAATCTTTATTATCAAACATTAAAAATACATTTTTGCTTATCAATGCAAATTTCATTCGACTACAGTAGTTTCTCCATCGGGAGATGTAACAGATATTGATGGTAATACCACGACTAAATATTTAACAAAAATAGATATGAAACAGAAAAAAAAATCAAATCGATAAATACATACGATCCTTAGGTTTATTATTTTCTACTACAACAACACGATTTGAAGATGTAAAAAAATTCATCACGTGATTTACAAACATATGTATTTGAAATCGTTTTGGTGGTGATGTCGTTGTTTTCATTGTCGCCTCAGACATTGATATTTTTCTTATCTAATAAAAATATGTAACAAATAATAACTATCATTCTTGTTTTTTTCGTATTTATTTTATACCTTATGCCAACGATTGCACATGCACATTCTTACGTATGATATATATATATATATATATGTATATTAAGCACACCTGTGTTACGTTCTATGACGATAATAAAAAAAATTGAAAAGAAAAAAAAGTTATTTTCCGTTTACTCTGACGTCGTATGTATACGTAGATATAAAGAAACAAATAGTAACTATCATTATCAATAAAAAAAATCAAGAGGTTGACGATATAATTTCCTGAAAGAAGAAAAAAAATCAAATCATTTGATGTAGAAAAAAAGATGTCGAGACATAATAAACTATGTATGTCATTCTGTTACACGTAATTTCTATATTTGATAGATGTAATGTCAATCAAAATTGGAATTAACAGATGAAACAAGTCATTGTAAAGCAAAGATTGTACATGAACATACCATTTAGATTAAATCAAATCAGTGAATCTATATAATTAAACGGTGAATAATAATAATATGAATAAATATCATTACATATCATCAAACGATAAATAGAAAGAGTTATATATATAGTCATCGTTTGATATCTTGCGTATTTTTCAGCTAATATAAACAAACATAAATGTCAAAACAGTAGAACTTGCTTAAATAATTCAACCGAAAAATAGAATACTTTTTTTTGCCAGTTGATTTAAGTAAATGTTATTATTAAACTGTTAGAAATATTAATTCGAGATAATAAAATTTTGTGTCATATTAGCTGATATAGGAGAAAACTGAAATTGCTTATAATTTCGTTATGAAATTTGTTTGATAATGAAGTTAATGACAAAATTCTTATATGCACGCAATAATAATAAATACAGTGATTAATGTTATGAAAAGAATTTTTTTAAAACAAGTATATTAGAATTTAAGTTCAATATGAAATTATTTTGAGTAAAAGAAATATACTTATCATTGCGCCATCCTTAATAATATTATTCTATAATTAAATAAAATGAACGAATGTTTATATTAAATCATTTTTCTCGATTGGTTTCCTGTGGTTAGTTTTTTTATTCTCCAAAAAAATTTCTTTTAACAAAATAAAATATCTAAACAATTGATAAACAGATCCTGTAATTTATTCATTCTAAAAAGACAGATGTTATACATAATTTCATAAATAGAATAAACACTGAAAACATTTAACAATATTATGAAACATATACGAGTTGTATAAGTCTAATTAATATCAAATTAGTTTCTGTTAACTTCAACTCATTATCATCTATGATTAACAGACCTTTGTTTATTTACAAAAGAGAATATACAGTATACTATATGTTGATAGTTTATACCATGTAGATTATGACTGGATGAGCAAACCTAATATTGATTTCTTATTTTTGAGTATTAAGAAGATATACAAATCATACTAAAAAAAATAGTATCAAGTTTGAGTGATTATTTTCTTTATTTTTCAAATCAACAAATAACTAGTTTTTGTAATATATTTTCCCTAAAGAAAAGCATTTCTTTATTTTGAAGTTGGTGGATTTGAATGTTTTGTCTGCTGTGAATCATCCAAAATTGCTTTTCTTCCTGCTGCTTTTTGTCTTGTTCGGATAATTTTAATATTTTCTTTACTATCAATACGATATTGTGCTAAATCTTGTTTATGTTTTTCAATATCTTCAAAAATTTCATCTCGATCTTCATCATGAATTTCTGTTCGATATTGTCTCATTATATCCCATTGACGCCATGGTTCACTATAACGTTCTGCGGCTTTTCGTACACTTCGTGGTAATGGTGGTAAAAGAACACCTTTCAAATCATGACGTTCCCATTTATATTGCCAATGAGTACTGGTAATTGGTACCTAAAATCATTAAGTTAGTTTTTTTTGTTGAGATAATGAAAAAGAACTCTACTTGAATTGTGTTCAATGGTACACCACTACCAGGTGGTAATTTAACGGGTTCCATATCAAATGGAAATGTACAATATTCAGGTGGTGCATCACGTAAATATGCAAGATTTTCATCTAAACGTCGTTCAAGTTTAAGAACTTCAATTCTAGTTATTGTTGGATTGTATAATTCATAGACGATTTCAACACCTAATCAAATTTCATATTTATATATATAGGCAAAAGCTATTCTTACCAAGTCCATCAACAATATTTCTTAGAGTAAATTCATGTTTAAGTCCATGTTTTTCACGTTGAATACATATACCAACAAATCTATTACGTCGACTAGGTGCATATGGATCAGCAGATGTTACAGCAAGAACACTTCCTAATTTATACGATAGAGATTAACATAGAAAATAAATATTCTACGAAATACTAACCAACATAAAATTCTGGTATATCAATTTGTTGTCTTCGACGAAACATATCCTTTCGTTCAAGTTTTTCAAGTATTCGATCACGTAGAAAAGGAATAGGATTGGGTAAAAAATCAGGATAAACATATCTAGAAAATATACATTCGTTTTTTTATATTAAAATAAATTTTTATTTACTTAAAATCATGTGGTGTAGTACGAACATTTTGATTTTTTTCATCAGTTACTTGCGACACATCTTCAGTTGTACCAGCTTTAACTTTACTCAATGGTAATTTTCTATGATGTTCAACTAGATGATCAGCAATATGTCCACGTTGTTTATAACGAACAGATAATATCAAGACTAGAAAATAAGTTGTTTTATTTTTTCATAAAAATAATTTATATTTAATTAACCTGATCTTAATATATGTTGATTATTTAACAAAAATTTATTAGTATTAGAAAATGCTAATGCCATTTTTCTTTTTCTTTTCTATTAAAAATACATCTGAAAAACAAACAAACTAAATCATAACATCCTAAGTTTTTTGTAAATAAAAAGAACATCGAGAACATAATTGCTCTTCGTTTTCTGATATTTGTAAACGACAACGAGGACAAGAATGCAAAGTAGAATGTTGTACTTTCATTATATAATTAAATTTATCATCTAAAATTAAACAAAAACAAATAGATTTTTATTAATTATTAGTTTTCTTAGGTCAAGTTAAGTGACTTCCAAATTTGAAGTTTACGAGTCTCAAGTTTTTTGACAAATTGTAGCTTATAACTGTGTGCTTTTTTTCATGAGCATCGCCGGTGAACTCAGCACAGTCTAGAGCATCTATCATAGCAATCAAAAATAGATGATTACAGCTTTTGGGTAGAGTTTTTCGAGAAAACTTGGACATCCGTAAACTCTAAATTTGGAGCAGACTTAACCTGACCGTTTTTTTAATATACCTAATAATGGTAAATCAACACTTGAAATATTTTCTTCGGTTAGATCATTATCTAAATCTGATAATGATCGTTGTTGTACACGAGAACATTGTAAGAGTTCTTCTAATGGCTGCCAGAAATCTAATTTAACTGTCTAAATTAAGACGAGATATTAATAAATGTTACACAATTCCGAATAAACTTACTGTTGGATGTTTTTGTAAAGTATTCAGAATTTGTTGAAGCTATAAAAATAAAAATTTATGCGAAAATATTTTTATTCATAATTTCAACCTGTAATTTTGCTTTATCACTTAAATAAAGTATAATATCAAATAAAACTCCTCGTCGATTTTGTAGTACACTATGAAATGTACTACGTAAATGTAATACAACGGTCATTGCAGATGCAAGTTCAGATGGTATTTCACTTAATTGTTTATCCAAAATAGTAAATTTATTTTCAAAAATATCATTGATTTTTTTATCTTTGTTTTCTGAGAAAATAATAAAAAATAGCAAAATTTTATTTAAGAATATATAAATCAAACCTATATTGATTAATTCATTATATAATTCTTGTGCAAGATATGGCATCACTGGTGCTAATCGTTCATTTAAACATTTCAATAATAAATAAAAAACTGTTTGTGTTGATCGACGAAGATAAGAATCAGATGGATTACAATAAAGTCTAATAATCAAATAATGTTTCGTTTATGAATAAAATCTCGATTTTTTTTCATACCGATCTTTTGTTACTGAACAATAAAAACTTGATAAATCTCCTTGAATAAAATCTTCAACAGCTATTAACCCATGATACATTCTATATCGATCAAAATCCGTATGATACTAAAAATTTAAAATAAAATAATGGAAAAAAATTTCTAATATATACTATCGTAAGAATTTGATTTAATCGATAAGCCATATATCGATCAATAGCAGTTAAATTTTCATTTGATACTGTATGTTTATCAGGTTGATAATCATATAAATTTCCTAATATAAATTTCAATACATTTCTTATCTAAATAAATTTTTTTCTAAGAAAGATTTTTTTGTTTTCAAAATAAATAATCTTACATCAAAAACTCGTTTATAAGCTTTATTTAAATCTTCTGTACTAGCTTTACATTGTTGTTTATAACTTTCTCTTGTCACCCATTCACGACAAACATCAAAACCATTTTCAAGAAATTTTTCTTTTCCACCACCATAAATCATATCCGATGGTTGAATAACATTTCCAATTGATTTCGACATTTTTTGATTATTTTTATCGACAACAAAACCATGAACGAATATATTTGAAAATGGTGCTCGGGATTGTAAACCTGTTGATAATAATAATGATGATAAAAACCAACCATTAAATTGATCATGTCCTTCACAATATAAATCAGCGTGACAATTGAAATCTTTTCAAAAAAAAACATGTTTTTTATTTATATAGATTTAATTTTCTATACCTTTAAGAACTGAATTAAATGATGAACCACTATCAAACCAAACATCAAATATATCATCTCCACGTATAAGATTTTCAGCTTGATTATGCATAGACGGAGGTAATAATTCTTTAATATCTGTTGATGACCACCAAAAATCAATTGAATCTTTTTCTTGGATGGATTTTATTAAATGTTCAATCATTTCTTCATTGATAACAAGTTCTTTGTTTTCATTTTTAGTATAAAAAACAGGAATGGGTACACCCCATGAACGTTGTCGTGATATACACCAATATGGACGTTTTGTTATCATAGATAGAAAACTTTTTCCAGCACCTTCAGGAAAGATTTTTACATCCTCTGATATATGTTTACATGCATTATCACGTAAACGAGTTGTATCAATAAACCATTGTTGACTACCTAAGATTAACACAGGTTTTTTTGCTCGCCAATCATACGGATATGAATGTGTAAATTCATAATGATGTAATATATTTGAATTTAAATATTCAAGAATCGATTTTATTCCATCTTTAGAATCTAATGCATTACGACCATGAAGAGATTCAATTGTTGGGCAATGTAAACGACCGTTTGTATTCACCGCATTTACACATGAAAGATTATATTTAATAGATAGAAGGAAATCATCAGAACCATGTGCGGGTGCTATATGAACAAGACCAGTACCTAATTCATCAGTAACATGATCACTTGTAACAATAGGATAAGTTTTGTCGTCATGATAGATTGGGTGATGATAATTAACACCAGATAATTGAGAGCCTAACAAAGAAATGAAATTGTTTTTTTTGAGAAATAGATTATAGATTTATTTACCAAGACAATTTCCTATTATTTCAAACTGATTATCAGAAAATGGTGGATATTTTTTTATATTATTTAATAAAGATTCCGCAACAATATATATATCATTAGTTGAAGGGAATTTTATGAATAAATATTTCAGTTTTTCATTAACAGCTACAGCTTGATTCCCAATCAAAGACCATGGTGTAGTTGTCCAAATTAAAGCATATATATTCTCTGTATTTAATTCTAAAAAATAGAAAAAATAAAATACCGAGAAAATCTTATAATCAAAATTTCTTACGTGGTAAAAGACTTGATAATAAAGGATCATTTTTCAAACGAAATCGAACGTAAATCGCAGTGCTAAAAAACACAATTCAATATCGATATCTCCAGTTAGAATATAATATCTCTTCTTCCATTCATATTTAATTACCTTGTATGTTTGTCATTATATTCTAATTCTGATTCGGCTAAAGCAGATTGAACAGTTGGTGACCAATTTACTGGTTTATATTGTCGATAGAGTAAACCCTTAAAAGAAAAGAATCAAAAAAACAAATTCTGTATAATTTTAATTACTTTCTGATATAATTTCCAAAATAATTTAATTTGATCAATAATATATTCTTTATTAAATGTTCTATAACAATTATTCCAATCAGCTAATATACCCCATGAATGAAATTCATTTTTTTGTTTTTCTAATTCCTCAGTAGCAAATTGACGTGCTATTCAAAAATAAATAAATAAAAGAAAATCTTCTATAAAACATAGAATTCTACCAAGTCTACGAATAGTTATTTGATTTTGTTTATTTGAATTTGTTTTATTTAATTGTAAAGCTTTTAATTCAATTGGTAAACCATGACAATCCCATCCAGGACGAAAATCTATTCGATGTCCATCTAATAATTTATAACGTACAATTATATCTTTTTGAATCTGTAAAACAAAACAAAATACTATAGAAAAGAAACAATAAAGAATGAATATCAAACATTATTTAAAAAATGTCCGATATGAAGAGGTCCATTCGCATATGGTGGTCCACTATGTAAAACAAATAATGGCCGACACAACTGTTTTGTTTGCCATTCCCATAATTGATTAACAGGAAATTTCTAAAAATGATCTTACATTTGAATTACACACACACACACATATGATTATCATATTCTTCTATTAAGAATAAACAAACCTGTTTGATATTATTTTCACATTTAACTCGATTTTTCATTGTACTCGCAAATTTACTTTTCGGCATATTGAGTGTATCTTTGTATGATATACTTTTATTTGATACATATCGTAAATTTCTATTGAAAAAATTTCGATAACCAAATAAAATTCTCATCTAGTATACACAGAGAACAATATATATATAAGCATAAAATGAGACAATATATAAAACACACAAAAAACAACGCATAAAAATATATATGATAATATCTATCTATATAGGTATAGGACTTGTTTTTTTTTCTCTTTTTTTTTTTTTAAATAAATGAAGCAAATGACTAGTTGACAATATATAATATATATTATTTTTAAGAATGAGTTTCGGAAAAAAAATAAAATACGTATAAAATAAAGTTTTATTTAATTTTTTGTTTTCGAATTATTTTTTGCTCGTTCAGCATCATCAATTGCAGCCATATCGAGTGCAGCGGTATATAAATGTATTAAACTAATTATTTGTTTTCCAAGCATGATTGGTGTTACAGCATAGAGAATAATACGCCAAAGACCAAGTCCATATTTACCAATAGTAAGAACTAAAATTTGAAATTTTTTTATTATTAATTATGATTTATGGTCAAAATTTACCTGTAGGACCTTCACCGAAATAAAGCATATAGATCATTGAAAACCAAAGTTCATTTCCAGCACACATTGTAAAGAGAACTTTCTAGAAAAAAAAGATTGATCAATCAGTTTTGTTTTTCTTAAGAAATCTTACACGTGAAGTATAATAAAGACGAAGAATAGGATTGCCGGATAAATCAATTTTTTTATGACTTTCCGAACCTTTTACTGTAGCTCTAGAATAAATCAAAAAAAAATGATTTTTAAAATTAATAATAAATAATATTTACGCGTGTAAATGAAGCCAATGACTAGCAGTATCAATGGCAGCCCAAAGTTGGAAGAAAAGTGCCCATTTTGGATAAAACATTGCCAAAACAAAGCATAAACACATTGTTGAACATCGATCAACAAGCATATCAAACATTGCTCCAAATTTAGTACCTAGATTTTATTATTAGTTTTTCAATTATTTTCAAAAATATTAGAATTCTTACTTTGACCAAGTGCACGTGCAGCATGTCCATCGAGTGCATCAAGAAGTTGACTTGTTAAATAACAAAATATTGTTATTTTTGGATGCGATGGCATAAAATAAAATGAGATAACCGAAAGTAAAACTCGTACATAACCTTAACAGAAAAAAATAGAAATAATTCTTTATCACATTTATCTTTCTCTACTTACCAATTATATTTGGTATAAATAAAAATATATTATTTGTTTTAAGTAAAGCATCTAATGAATCAATTTTTTGAATTTCTGATAAAATATTTTTCACTGGTGATGAAGTAGTACGACTTGCCATGATTAAAATACTATCTGAAATAGAAATAAATGGATTAGATAGTTATCTCTTCAAATAAATCGATAGATTGATGTTTTAAAACCTAATAGAAAAAATTAAAAAAAAGACTTTTAAAGATTTTTTTTACTTCATTTCCAATAGATGTAAAATTAGGTAATAAATTTCTCGCATAAATTTCTAAACAATGATCTATATCATTATTTGGAAAGTTAATTAAATTTTGAAATAATGTATGTAAAGCTGGCTTTGTCGAATGAATCAATGCAGGAATCTAAAGAAATCATAAAATAGAACTAAAAACGAAAAAATCGAAATGAATACGCTGCAGATAATTTTTGTCGTATTTTTTAATGAACTAAATCGATCATCATCATCTCCAGTATAACCAAGTATCAATGTTTCATAAGATTTTTTATCTAATGATGTTAAATCAAGTACAGGTTCACCAGATCTAGTTACCTAGAAAAAAAATTTCTTTTATGATAAAAGCTCTTCAATGTAGTACGTGAAGTTGAGATGAAATTTTATCAACATAAGAGTGTTAATTATCTGTCCACTCAAAAAGATAAAATATTCTTCTTCATACAAACGAACTCTTTAGTATGACAGATGAATTGGGAATTTATGAACAACTGTTTACAGAGGTACAGAATCTTCCGGAAAACCAAAAATTTTCCCACCTGGAAAAATTTTTTCGAAGTAAATTTTGAAAAATTTCCCCTCTCCGCGCGGCGGCGCACGAGGAAGATTCAGCACCTCTGACTGTTTAACTCTATCGCGTAATTAAATAAAAGATTCACAGTTGTTAATAATTGATCAAACATATTGAAATGTCATATTCTTTAGAATAGAAAATGACCTATTCTTTAAATGAGTATAAAATATCATTTCATACTTTTAACCAATACCAAGTTGTTAAATATTGACAATTCCATTTAGTAAATAATTCGTTTTTTATAAATTCTTCAACTTTATCACAATTAGTTGACCAACAACAAATTAATGATGATTTTGTACGATCAATTAAATTTTCAACAGGTAAATTTTTAATATCAGTAAAATCTGACCAATTATAAGGATGTTTTCGTCTTACACTTTTATTTGCCCATGGAGGATCAAGGACAATAAATGAATATTTTGTTCCTTCTTTAAAAAAAAAACAACATAGGAAACATTTTATTAATTTTCAAAAAAATGTTTTTCTCACCACTTACAAGTAACCTTGCATTTTTCATATCAGACCATAGAAATCGACAATTTTCTGGTAATAAAATTTGTCCGCCAATAGCAGTATCAATTAAACTTGGATGAATTTTATCATGTGTATAAAGAATATTTGTTTGTATACCCAATTTTGATGCACGAAGAAAATAATCTATTCGATATATTTTTAAAAATTAGTGTCCTTTTTTTCTTTCAAAAAAATCTTTACCAGTTAGAGGAATTTGTTGAATGGGTCGAATATTATCACTTTGTTGAGTAGCTATTTCAGCAAAAGGAACATCATTAAATGTATGTTCACTTTGTATTAATGAAATCTCATTATTAGATAATAGTTTATTTTTACAAAAATCTACTGCTTGATTAAGCTATTGAAAATAATTATAAACATAAGAAATATTACATAGACAAGAATTTACTTTTAATACTAAATCATTTTGTGATTCTTCAAATGCTTCGTCATGAGTTCGTTTCTAAAAAATATTCAAATCACGTTATATGTGAGATGAATTTAAAGCTTCTTTAATCTTTTTTTCTCTCCTGTATCAGCATTTCTCATTAGCATTTACGTCAATTATATATGTATAAAATATTCTCAAGGTCTTAGTATTTATTTCTATAATTAAAATAATTCAATTGTGTGTAAAGAAAAGAAAAAAAACTCATTATCTTTATCGTTACCTTATGTTAGAATCTAATGTACTTCAAAATTTCAAAGAATAACTACATATTATCTTAAGGTAAAAATCGGGCATACCATATTGTTCTTTTTCTTCTTCTTCTTTCCCATTTGTTCGATATTTGCCTTACGAAATGGTTGTTCAACATAAAACAAATCTTTCCTCCATATGAAATCTTTTATAGTATCAGCGCCCATACTATTTCTCCAGTCTTTTGTATGTGCATATATATGACTCAAAAATAGATTTTGATCAAGAATGACAAATTGTTTGTCGTCGTGGCAATGAATCATCAAACAATCTAAAGAATATGTAACGTGGCAAGTTTAAATAAAAAGTAAAGAAAGAACTATTTCATTGCTTCTTAATAAATCATCATGTTTTTTTTTGAAATGTGGTGAGAATAGAAGATACAAAGAAACCAAAAAAAAAGAAAGAAAGAAAGAAAAAGATATTTGTTTGTTGTATAACAGCAAAAGAATAAGAAGGAAACAAAAAATGAAACGACAAATGTTTTTGAAACATAGTTTTATTTATTTTTTTTTCTTCCTTCATTCTGTCTAAATTTTTTCCAGCGCATTTATCTTTTAAACAACATAATGACAAAACAATAAACAGAGAGAGACAATCTAGCAATTTTGACAAGAAAAAAACAGAGACGAAGAAAAGAATACATATTTATATGTCCTAGCTAGAAGATAAGGATAAAGAACTAAACACACGTAGGGTTTGGTTTTTCATCTAATATAAGTAATTGAAATATATATATATATATGTTCAAAAGAAATAATAAATTCCGCTGACCAAATTAAAGACAAAAAAGTCAGAGAATTGACTTTGACAATAATAAAGTAATGCGCGCAACCAGAATAAAGAGACAAAAAAAAAAAGAAATCAACATATACAAAGAAACAAAAAACAAAATGAATGTATTGAAATCCTTTTTTTTGTTGTATTAAATTCATTTACGTGGTCGTAATTTTCGTACATAATCTCCACTTGGTTCTGGTGTTGTTGATGCTGATGTTGGTGTTTTCTTGCTTCCACTTGTTCGTCCTCTTTTTGGTGGTGTTTGAACCGTTTCACTTGCTGCTGCTGGTGCTGGTTCTGCTGCTGTTGTTGCTGTTGTAGTCGTTGTTACTTCTGTTTTATCAACATCCATTTGTTGTTCATCATTTGATGTAATTGATTTTTTTCCTTTTGGTGTTGCTGTTTTCTTTTTAGATGTACTAGGTGATGATGATGCTACACGTTTTCGTCCACGACCTCCTCCTGAGCCTCTTCCACCTTTACGTGGTGATGGAGTTCTCTTTTTTTTTGATTTACTACCTTTCATATCATCATCATATTCTGCATCAGATGGAACTGCATCTTCATCATCAGATTCATCCTTAGCTTCTGCTTCTTCTTCTTCTTCAGCTGAACTGGTACCTATAAATAGAAAAAAGATCAAGAATTTGTTTTTTTAGCAAATATTAAATTTAATTAATTACCTGCTTGTATAGCATCTGTAGCTACAGTTGCTGCTTGACGTTTAGTACGTTTCGGTGCTGGTGCTGGTGGTGGTGAAGATTCAATTTTTTTGGTTACGGGTGCTTGAACTTCTTCAGCTGTTTGTTTGTCGTCTTCATTCTGTGATGATGATGAAGCAGGTTTTCGACTACGTGATGATTGACGTGTTGGTGGAGTTGATACAATAGGTGATTTAGCTTTACCACGAGGAGACTATTTTATATAAGAATAAATAAATTTAAAAAAAAATTAGAAAATATCTTACTTTAGTTTTATGTTCTGGTGTTGTTGTAGATTCAGCTAGAACAGTTGCTTCAGGAGCTGTAGCTGATGCAGGAACATTATCATTAGATGTTGGAGTTGATGTTGTTTCAACAAGTGGACCGGGAGCAGGTGGACCAGAATTATCATTTTTAATTGTTGGCATAGTTGATAAATCTTTTTTAGGAATATCTGCTGATGTTGTTAGTCCTGGTTCGGGTCCAGTTAATGTTGGTTCATCAGTTGGTGCTGTAGCTGTTGATGCAATACTATCAGTTGGTTCAACTGATGGTGTTGGAAGAGTATTATTTTGAATTGGATTTTCGATTGTATTTGCTGCTTCTACTGCTGAACTCGAGTCTACAACTGAATTAGCATTATCTTTAGTTGTTGCATTGACTGATGAAACTGTATCAACTTCTGTTTTACCATTTTGTCCATTGACATGTACATCTGTTGAATCACTTGCACCTGTATTTTCCTTTACAGATTCTGTATTACCATTATCTAAATTATCACTAGTTTTATTATTTGTTGTATTATTTTGTCCATTAACAGCCAATTCAGGTGTTAATAATTTTTCCGTGCCTCCTAAATCATTATTTGGTTGTTGTTGTTGTTGAATTTTTGTTTGTGATACAGCACTACCAAAGACAGGTGTCGATGATGTTGGATCAAAATCTTCAGCTGATTGTATCGACATTCGAATTTTTGCTTAATTAAATAAAGTACAATCTAGAAGGAAAATAAACAAAAAAACGAAGTTCATTGAGTACACAAGGTTACTATCATTGAGGAAAAACACAAGTCCGTAATTTAAGAAAGTATATTATTAGCTATTTATTCTACTAGGAGAAAATCTTATTGAATGAAATATTTTTTTCATTCGAAAACGTAAAAGAAATGTCATTTTCATTTTGTTTGTGTGTAATCTTTGTTTATACGTTATGAACAATCTTTTTCTTTCGTATTCTCTTTCTTGATCATTTGCTATTGTCTTTGTTCAATTTAAAGTGCATAAGTATGTTACATATCAAAAATTAAGCAAATTAAAATAAAATAATTTTTATTCGATTCATTCCAAGAAATTTATGAAATTAAATATATTAATTTTTCAGTTGTTATTATAACGTCAAATGTGTCAAAAAAACGAAGAATGAATTAAAAGATCCTCACAGTAAACAATACATAGAAGGAAAAATGGTTGCAATTAATTATTCTGGAAATGTAAAAGAGATTGGAAGATATAATCAACCATTTAAAAACGATGTCACTACATTCCAATACCGAGATTTTTACGAAATATGCATCATGGAATTGGTAATATATTTTTGTTAAGGATGATCTTGCATCAAAATGATTGTATAATTCACTTTCTCGTAGAGAAGAGTCCAGCAGAAATAAATTGTTTGTTTGTCCGCAGGGTCAAAAAAAAACATCAAAAACTGATTTTTCAGAAAAGACATTTCGATGCAGGGATTTCGAATCTAATGTTAGTTTTTTCAAATTCTTTAAAGAAAAAATTTTTTTATATAAGATTTGACGAAATGGCTTTTAAGATCGGGGAACAGGAATCTGGTGTTAGTTTTTGCAAGTTACATAAGCAAAAGGTCCCGTAGCATTGTAGAACACCATTTCTACGAGAAAGAGCTAAGCGAGTCCTTACACGAGCGTTACTTGTTTAAAATAAGATAATTTTTGAAGTTAAACTTTGTTGATAACTCTATTACCAGTGTATCGTATTTCTGATGTATAGAATATTTTTTTTCGAATAATAACAAAGATTAAATAGTATCTAACAAAACATGTTACCATTAGTATCGATATCATTTGATTCGATATTACTATGATGATGAAGTTTGCTAATAGGATTTAATGATTTATGTGTTTATAATAGCAATACATAAACATATAGTTTCCTTTTTTTTCCATAAGCTATCTATTACTACAACTGAATACACTAATATGTAATCATGTAGAGTGTTACTTTAAAGATGTATTTTAATATAGTAAAATATATTAATGCGAGAACAGATGTAGACCATAAAATGACCTTTTTTTCCTAATAAGCCATCTAAATGCTAGTATCTTTTTATCTGCTATTCGATCAAATTATATATAAAATATGTTAATGAAATCGATATAATTCTTAATATAGAAAATGCCTATTTATAGTTCTATTGCTCAACTGGAGAATAGATACGTTTGGTGAGAGAAAAGAAACTGATCGCAATCAATCAATAAATCTATCAATCATATTTTTTGTTTTTTCGTCGGCGATTTATTTTTCTTTTTTTCTATATGATGAATCATATAATATCTGTTTATTTAACCTGTTTTGTTTTCTTATAGTGTATTTTTTTATGTAAATAAAAATTTGGCTAATATTTATTACCATGAATAATATATCTGCCCAAAATCTTGATGAATTTAATCGACAAAAAAAACAAGCAGAAATGATTAAACAATATTTACAAGTTACAAATATTGACACAACAAATTCTTTACTGACAAGCCATCCGACGGTAACAGAATATGAAACTTCTGAATTACCTAATACAACAAGTAAGAATAATTGACAAAAACATTGAAATTAAATTTTGTTCATATGTTTAGCTATGTTACCATTATCATCGATTAATTTTAATGAATTAAGAAAAGATTTAAAAATGGGTGAAGAACGTGTTAAACGTTTACGTGAAGAATTAAAAGAAATTCAGAAAAAACGTGATGATTCTTTTATAAAAACACCACCGCCGCCGCCGCCATACATACCGCCATCAATTAATAATAGATCAACATCACCGCTTGTACAAGAAGTAAATTAAAATTTAATATTATTTTTTAATTGAAAATTCGTTTTTTTCTTAAAAGTTTTTATCATCACGACAAATGATTAATAATCCAATACTACTACCTAATTATAACTCTATGAATCATTTACCAACAGTTCCAGGTGGGGTAAGCGCTGCTTTTGTTTGCTATTAGCTTTTTTCTAGTTCTATTTTTGTCTCTCTAATACTTAAATTATTCATATATATATATATTTATTATTCAGCGGATGTATCTAAAGATCATCGACAACGACAATTCTTTTTAACCATGAGTCAACATCGAGAGCAACTTATTGTTTATCTTGATTCATTAAAACAGGCACTTAACTCTCTTGATCGATTAGCTTCATTAGAACCAACACGTAATGAAGTTCATCTTGCTAATATGAAGTAATTCATTTAAATATGCATATATATATATTTATTCTTCTTCTTCTTCTCTCAAGACTTGATACAATTCAACAGAAAAGTCGACAACTTCGTGCATTAAAATCGAATCGTTCATCACAACAATCACCATTTATAGAATGTCGTATACGACAATTAGAACATGATCTAGTCTTTATGTTAAGTGAATATCAAAAAGATGTTCATGGTAAACTTGAATTAAATGAACAACGAAGTATAATGTTACTTAAAATAATGCAAGTAGCAGATGAATTATCGTCTGTTGATCAACAAATACAACAGTAAATATCAAGAGAATTTATTTTTTTGTCTTTTTTTTTTCAAACTTCTTATTGGATTTAGATTATCATATAATCAGACAGACATGCATCAAATAAATCTATCTCCATCATCTTATGACATGAATCAACAACAACCATTACGAATTATTAATGCAACAAATAACCTTGATGAACGACATGTTTCATTTCGAGATCTGACAGACAGTAATCCATTGACTAAATTAACCAATCTATATTATCAACATCATCATCATCATCATTAATAGGGCAGCATTTCTCGTTAACATTATACATCTCATTAGTCTGATAATCTTCAAACCAAGACTTATAATTTACTTTGATACTATGCAATATAACTAATTTATATAATTTTTTCTTTCTTAGTGTACTTTTTATTTTTTAATAAAATAGTTATTAATACAATGCTGTCTCTCGCTTATTCTCAAGAGATCTTTTACTATAGCTAAGAAGCAATCTATTGAAATGAATGATGATGGAAGGAATGGAAAAAAAGCGTGCATACTCACATATATAAGGCTCAATTACAGACATAGAAGAAGAAAAAAAAAGGAAAAAGAAGAACAGAGAAAGTGCGTCATTTGTTTTCTCTACTCTATAATAAATTCAGTAGTGTTTGGAAAAGAAGACGAAGGAGATAAAAGGTAGAAAAGACACGAGACTAATTGAAACAAAAAAAAAGAAGAGGAATAGTAATGTATTGTTACGTGTACAATTTAGTAATCTCCGGTCAAATAATTAGATGAACGACGACAACATCGATGTAATAGGAGGTAGATAAGTACACATACTATTTCTCTTTCTTTCAATTGATTTCAATCGTAAATTCACATATACAATATACAAAAAAAAAGAAGAAGAAGAACAAGTTTACGCAATAAAGATTGATGTAAGTAAGCAATTGTATTTTTATCAATACTTTTTAGTATTTTTTTTATCACCAACAATGGATAACTTTAATCAGAGATTGCTAAAGGGAAAAATCAAAGTAGTGATTTTGTTTTCTTTCATCTCTGGGATTGATTATGTCGAAGGAACAGATGAATAGTAGTTGGTGTATTATAAATAACACAATTATATATGTACGTGATGATCATTCTCTTTCCTTTTTTTCTTACTCACTTCTAGTTGTAATAAACATGCGAAAGTCTGCGACAACAATTCTGCCACGTTCATCATCAACTAATTTATCTTCTATTCAACAAAAAAATTCTTCTTCTAAAACAACAACAACACGACTTCCACATAGTACAAGCCATCAAGATTGTCACAAAATCACATCAAATCCCCCACGTTCTCGTTTAAATTTTTCTACAAGTGCAACAACACATGAATTATCTCGTTTCGAACCAATTCTTAATCATGATACTGATTCATTAAAAATTGGTGATAGAATATATGTTAATGGTCAATGGTCAGGTATTATATTATATATTGGTGAAACAACATTAGGTACAGGTGATTGGGCTGGTGTTATACTTGATGATTCATCTCTAGGTAAAACAAATGGTATTGTACGTGGTAGATGTTATTTTCAAACAACGAATAATCGTGGAATATTTTGTCGTTTAACTAAAGTTACTCGAGAAAAAATTTTATCTTGTGAAATAAATGAAAAAAGCAACAAACAAAAAAAAAATGAAAACGAAACAAAAATTGTGAATATTTAAATACTAAAAATCTACACATATATAATAAATAAGATAAGCAAAAGTCATTCTCTACATAATTGAACAACGTACATTATTATTATTATTATTGATATTATTATTTTTATGTAATTTTGTTTTTAATTTACTTTTATGTTCATGTTTATTATTACCAAAACGTGTAAATAAACGTGAAAAATCATTTAATATTGAATTATTTTGTGTTGATGAAGAATTTTTACATTCTTTTAGATAATCTTTTAATAATGCTTGATTATTAAGATAATCTTTATCATTTGATAATGGTATATGTACATCAATATCAGATGCATAAATATTTTCTTTAACTAATGAATTATCATATTGATTCTTATGATTTTTATGCGGTTGAAATGTTGTTGGAAGTGGATTTGTTAAACCATATTGTAACCAATTTAACATTGATACGGGACGTGTTTGATCAGTTTCATTAATAATATCATTCATTGGTTTACAAAAACTAAAACTACGTACTTGTTCATCTTTTTTATTTGAACGAAGATTTACTTCCGAAATATGTTTTATTGGAATAGCATATTCAGGTTTTATTTCATTCATTTTTGATTTAGATGAAAGTATTGGACTACTTTGCGGAACAGATATGCTTAATATAGGATTTTCATATGTTTTTTCATCGAGTTTTTGAAATTTTGATGACTAAAAAAAAATAATAAAAAATATTTTGAGTGGTTCTTTAACAAAATTTCCTAAATGTGAATCGGTAGACACTGTGAACTGTGCTGAGTCGATTGGTGATGTTCAAGAAAAAAAAGTACACAGTTACAGTTTATCGAAAAACTTGGAGCACTGTTTTATTCAGCTTTTTTCGTCCGAGGATGCGAAATTAATTGCCGAGAGGGCAAAAATCTCTCTTTTGGTGGGGGGCGCAAACGTAGAGTTTCAGGCGCAAAAAGTGTAATTTTACTGAATTCCGGGGGGGGAGGCAGAGGTACCCTCCGAGAGGGCAAAAATCCCCGTGCCCCCCCCCCCCCCCCCTGGATAAAACACTGACTTGGAGCCCCCTCATCCTGACCATGTGAATCTTATCCAGAGATTACATGGATAGTAATAGCTTTTTTTTCTATATAATTTAACACATAGCGGTAGTATCAAAGCTAAATGAGTTACGATTACTAATTTAATCAAATTATTTTGATAAAAAATAGCGGACATGTCTCTGATTATGCAATAGTTAATTAACACATTGTCTATTTCATTTTTTTGAATTAAATGAATAACTTACATCAATTGTATGACTTTTGGTTTGATATAAAAGTTCATCAAATGGTTTGTCTTTATGAATTAATGAAGGTTTAACATAAATTAAATCTTCATCGGGATTATTTGAACGTATTTTACGAAATTGTCGATCTAATTCTTCTGTAACTGAAGATCGTTTTGGTTTTGCCAATGACATTGATGATGATGATTGAAGTTGTTGTTGTTGTTTAGTTATTAATTTTTCTGTTGTTGATGAAATAATTGATGATACTTGAAAAGAATTATTTAAATTTTTAATATCTTTTGTTTTAAATGTTTTTATTAAACGTCGAATTTCTAAACGTTCAAGTGATGTAAAACTTGATTGACTATAACTACGAGATCTCGATGATATTGAACGATGTGTTGAACTTGAACAAAGACTATCACGACTTAAATCTCGTCGATGTGAACTAAAAAATAGAAATTAAAATAAAATAAAAAACAAATTTTGTTTTTTTGGTAAATACGTTATTGATGTTTGTCGACTTGATGTTTGACGAAGTTGTCGAAAATCTTCCATAGCAGCTGTAAGTAATGGATCATTTCGTAATGAACCATTTAAACGTTTTTGTAATGATGAATGACTACTACTATTAGAACTTGATGAAGATAATTCTTTATCATAATTTTTATGATTTATATCATTTATTTTTAAATTTTTATTCGGATCTAATTGACTTTCTTGATATATTGGATTATTCATAATTGGCATTTCATCTAATGTTGTTATACGAACTATTCCATGATCAGGTACTTGTTTTGGTGATGAGGATGATTGTTTTCGATGGGATTTTTTCTTTTGTTTTGGTGCATATTGCTGTGGTTGTTGCTGATGATGATGGCGAACAGGAGGTGGTGGTGGAGGATTGAATGGCATTTCATTTGCATAACTCATATTTAAATTTGGTTGTTGTTGTTGTTGTTGTTGCAAATGATTAATTGCATGCCATGAATGAGCTTTCAATAAATGTGATGAATTTTGTTGAAAGAATTGATGTAAATCAGTATAAGATTTTGTTTTTGATGGACGATATTGATGATTGGGAATAGCATAACGTTGGGATTGTATTGATGTATCTGTAAAACGTTGTCGAGTAAAATGACTGGTAGCTTGTTTTAAATGATTATAACGTGTATTTGTATAAGATGAAGATGGATGTAAAGTTCTTGAAGGTTGAGCTTGTCGTGGTTGATGTGGAAGAATAAATGGTGCTGGATAAGGTACGTGTGGTAATGATGGTGAAGTTTGATATGTTGCAGGATAATGTTGTTGAGTAACAGGGGAGTAATGATAAGGATTTGTTGACCAAGGTACAGAAAAGGGAATACGAGGTGAACTCATATAAAATGGATAGGTTATGGGTTGTTGCATCGTTAAATTCATATTTAATATTATCTAAATAGAATTTTTTTCTTCGTGCTCCAATTGTCTGACCAAAAAAAATATAATTATTACCGATATTTTTTGTTTTGAAGTTTAATATTCAATGCTTTATGGTCAATTTTGATCACATCACATTGTAAAAACCGACGCTAGTTTTTTTTCTCCCTCTCTCTTTCTTTCTTTCTACTCTCGTATATATAAATGAAGATATGGACACGGTTAAAGCTCAACAAGTGAACAGAATATATAGATATATATACAGACACTTTTAAAGGTCATACTCATCTCGTGTCCGAATGTTCAACGAACCGAAACCGTGGCAACAAAACGACAACAATAGACAAAAGAAATGAATGAAGAAATTCATACATATAGATAAGTGATGTACAGCAATGTATATTTATATATACATATTTTTTTCATATCTAACTCTATCTTTTTCTCTTTCTCTCTCCTATACTCGAGAAAGATAATAGAGAAGACGAAAAAAATAACGAAAATGAGTATGCGCGCATGTTTCTGTTCAGTGTCTTCTCTATAGATATGCACATTAACTATTGACATTGTCATTTTTAACTAAAGCACTTGGTCAAAGTCATTGTGGATTAATGATGATAAATGAGCAGACAATAAAAATGAAAATATTTGATATGAAATATTCATCTATTTGCATTAACTTCATATTATCAAAATGTGATTGTAGACAGAATTGAAAGCTTTATATTCAGATGAAAAAGAGTCTCATCAGTTAACTGATGAACATATATTCTTTCGCGTTTTTTTTTCATCATATGATAATCATCTACATAAAGAATAGATGAATAATGCTTAATCATATTTATTTTTAAAATTTGATTATTATCAATTCAGACTAATTACACATGAAACTCTTCACCTAATTAGATCGATAGATTATTTGAATAAATATAATCTCGAATATTCGATATGAACAATTTAGCATATAATTTTATTGTAATAATTAATATCAATAGAAATAATAACAAATATGAATGTTTAGTTTTTTAAATCAATCGTTATATTTTTATAAAAGAAGACAGTCTGTTTTTGTTAATGTATGACATGTATGACTTTGTCCGAGTTCACATCGACAAGTTGTCATACTAAATGCATAATTTGTTGGACAAATGAAATCATAACGAAGTAATGTACCATCCGATGGTTGATTATTTGTTGTACAAAAATAAAATTTCGTACAATCATACATATCTCGATAGAGACCAGAACGTCGACCATTACAATCAAATATGGGTGATGAACTACCCGATGTACCTAATAATTGACCTAAACCATTTAATGCAATCATTGCTGATTGAGGAATATTTGAAGGATATGTTGGCGGTATTGGTGTTGTTGTTGTTGTAGTTGTTGCTGGTGATGCATGTGATACACAAAATGTATCACTTGTTGTGTGACATGAACGACCTGTTGGCCAATCACATGTACATGCTTCCATAGAAAATTCAAGTCCAGGTGGACAGAAAAATATATGATAACGTAATGCATTTAAATCATCACCTTCACAAAAATAAAATATTGAACAATTTCGCCGATCACCATAAATTCCATTACGACCAGCTTGATGACGAGAACATATTTGTTCAGCATTATATGTTTGATGAGCTACTGGTGGTGGTGGTGGTGCGGCTGATGATGATGATGATGATGATTCTAATATAGGTGTATAACGTGTTGTACCTGATAGAATACTAAGAGCATTTAATAATTGTTGTAAATTATTTGGAATTATTGCTGGTGGAGGTGTTGTTTGAGCTTGTACATTAACAAAACGAACAGTCGGAGTATTCGTAGGAGATCCAATAATAGATGGAATTCGTTGATGAATAGCAATTGTTCGTGAACTTGTTTCAGGTAATGGAAGATTAAGAGTTGAGAAAACTTGTCGAGTAATTGGAAATGGTTCCGTATTACAAAAGAAACCAGAAAATTCTGAAATATAATAAAAATATTAAGATTTTAAATTGAAGTCTATACGATTTACCATCATTATCAATACTCCATATAAATATACCACCAAGTTGCTCTGCTTTTGCATATTGCGCCTATGAAAAATTTATTTATTATGAAATTGATGATTACTATACAATAAATTACTTTAAGTGCTGCTGAATCAACATCTTCATAACTAATCCATTGATCATCACTAGTCATATACCATCCTTTTTCAGAATCTAACCATACTCTTTGCCAATTCTGAGATTGTCCTTTTTCACATACCTAATTACAACAGATAAAAACTTCTATTAAGAGAATGATAAAAGTAATAACCTCATAGTAGGAAAGAAAACCTTTCGTTTTTGTATACCGACCAGGATGACCAGGTCCATTAGCTAAAATATATCGAATTATAAAATTAACCTAAAACAAAAAAATGAAACTAACTTGGTGCATGAAGACCTTTTTGTTCAGTTGATAATGAAAATGACCGACCATAAGCTGGTATACCAATAATAAGTTTTTCTCGTGGTATACCAAGACTAAGCCATAATTTAACAAGACCATCCTATTAAAAAATTCATCTAACAAAAATTCTATTTATTATTTATTTTACTTACAACATTTCGAAGTGATTCAGTTTCTAATTGATAAGGTTGATGAAATAATGGTGCAAATATACCTGTTTTCTCATCCCATGGACCTAATTTATATAATAAATTAAATAATTTTATTCAATTCTTGAGATAGATATATATTTACCATAAAAATCAAAAGTCATTAAATTAATATAATTAACAAGACTAAGAAAATAAAACTAATGTGTTAATTTTATAAAATTTCTCTCTCTTTTGTGTTCAAATATTACCTTTCAATTTTTCGAATGTCATATACTTTCAAAAGATTTTCTACGAATGGTGCAGCTGTTAATGTAATAATTGTTCGATGCATTAATCGTCTTTGTTTTCCTAATTCCTAAAAAAAGTCACGCATATTTTTTTTCTTCTTCATAATAATTTTTAACAAACTTCAAGTAATGTTGTTAATGCTGCTTTATCTTCTGGAACATCTGCATCAGCAAATTCAAGTGCAATATCAACTCCATCAAAACTGTGTGTCGCCATAAACCTTCGAGATTTCAAAACAACAATACTAATCTAATGAAAATTTTCAAATGAATGATAATTACCATATAAGACTTCGAACTATCTGTGCAGCCATATTTGGATGTCGTAAAAACCGCGTATATAGAGAAATTTTACCTCCTAATCGGATCAATATTTTTAAATTTGGATTTGATTTTTTTAATAGAGCAAGTTCACGATAATGTTCTACAAACAGAATAAAGATTCAAATTTTTTCTATAAAAATTTTTTTTATACCAAGATCATCTTTTTGTACGGGTACTATTTCTGGTTTATGATCATCAATAATTGCATAAGCATAAATTATATGAGAGCACATAAATGGATCAATAAATTCAATTTCAAATTTCGCTTCACCAGATCGATATCGAGACCAATTTGTAATATAACATACGCGAAGCATCTTTGATGATTCTTCATTAATCGGTGCTAAAAAAAAGGATTTTTCAAAATTTAAATAATCTGTATGTATGACAAAAAAAACATAACAAAAGAATGATCTAATCATTGATTCTTATCACACACTCTCAGACATACTTATTCGATTTGCATTCACATTATGTCGTTCACCAATAATAATGATGAGTAGGACGAATATGAGGTAATACATCAACGATAGTACTGGATAATATTGACCCATATTTAAATTTTCTTTCGTTTTTTTTTGTTCAAGTTGACCAGCAAAATAAAAGCATACGAAGACAACAATGACTGATAGATACAATATAAAATGACCAAATAGTGAGTAGAATAAGAAGAGTAAAAAGAAATGCTCACTAATCAAACAGTTTCATCCTCCGTGCAATAGTATAAGATCCACATGTCAACAGCTTATCTTATGTATATATATACACAGTATATACAACTAAACATCAAATGTCATGTGCTTACACAAATATATATATATACATATACACAATACGTGTGAACAAGTTCAATAAAACTTTAGCAATTAAATAAACATATGCCATCTACATACAACATAAAACAAATGTTCACTGAATGTTTCTTTTCTATACAAGAAATGAACTTGATCTTAATCGAAATAATAAGAAATATGAGAAAGTAAAGAAAGGATCATTCTATTTAAATACTGACAATGCCCTTGTATACATTTATATATATCATAGTTGTAAATATCCAACAACGTTGATAAGTGAAGAATGTTATATATATATATTGCGAAACAAATAAAAGTATACATCTTCTTAAATATTCTATTGATCCTTGTCATCATCTTCAAATAAGATTTGCCAACATATTCAATGATGTAATCTGAATGCATTTTAAAAGAGGGAGAGGCGAAGTGGATGGAAGAGAGCGAGCGGAGAGAGAGAGAGACAAAGAAGATATAACATTTCGATTTATTTGATCATAAGAATATCTGTACTGTTCTATTTCAGTATGATTATATAAAAAATGAATTTCGTTTTTTCATTTTATTTTTGCTATTTATTAAATAATTATTTAACTGCACAACAAATTTCAAGTAGGATATTTCAAGAAAAAAATCTTCTCTTTAAAATACGATTTTATCTTTAGATTCTATAACAGAATTACCACGTTTATGTGCATATCAAAATGATCCATCACAATATTATCCATGTGTATTAAATTATATTGGTCTTAGTAGTTGGTCATTATATCGATGTCCGAATCGATCAACATTCGATGAAACATCACAACAATGTTTAGTTAAAATTCCTATAAATGATGCATTTGAACAATTGGCTTTATTACCATCAACAGAAATAGCACAATTTCATCGTGTAGCTAGTTTTATTTTAGCTACACCTATGCCAAATGATGATCAAGATTTAGAACGACAACAACATAAAAGACTTGTTTCATTACCACCAACTATTGAAAAATTAATGGAACCATTTTCAATGAAGAAACTTTTACGAAAAGTAATAACCGAATAAATAAATATTAAAAAAGTTTTTTTATTTTCTAGCGAGCTAAACGTGATATAACAGAACACTCATCAGGCGTTATATGGTCAAATGGTTCTCCATTAATGAAAATAGATGATAAACCAATTGTTCAAGAAAAATCATCGGTTAATTCAAAATTAGGGCATTTCTCCATTGTACATCGTCATCGTACTGCTATTAATGAAGGTATGTACATTTCTTACAAAGAAAGAAATCATGATCTCATCCGAGATTAGAGACTATTGAGTCTGAAATTACTATACTTAGATCTGGCAGACTGCACTCTTATAATCTTGATATTAAATCAAGTATTTTTTTTCTAGTTGAATATAATCATATAATTCCAAAGTTTTCTACTATAATCATCTTCTCAGACATATTTAAAATATTTGTGATTTTATTTTAGACGAACTTAAATACAAGAAAATTTGTTATTTTACCAATTGGTCTCAATATAGACTTGGTCCAGCTAAATTCGAACCCGAACATATTGATCCATTTCTTTGTACACATATTATATATGCATTTGCTTATATTAATAATCGAACATTATCAATAAACAAAGTTGAAGAAAATGATGAAGGTTTTTTTATATAGAGAATTAAAGATTAACTTGTTCTTTTTGTTATTTAAAAATAGATCTTTATCGACGTGTCAATGCACTTAAAGTACGTAATTCAAAATTAAAAACATTACTTGCTGTAGGTGGATGGAATATGAAATCATATGCATTTTCAACAATGGTACATAATAATGAAAAACGACGAAATTTTATTTTTGAAACTATTAAGTAAATAATTATTAATGATTTTCAGGATTATACTTCGTTTTATTTATTCTAGTTTTCTTCGAAAACATAATTTTGATGGTTTAGAAATTGATTGGGAATATCCAGGTATTCGTGGTGGTCAAATAGATGATAAATATTATTTTACCATGTTTCTTCAAGTAGAATTTTTTTGTTTTTAAATCAAAAAGAATATATGTATTTAATAGGAATTCAAAGATGCAGCAACAGCTCAAGCTATAGTTACAGGTCAACCACGATTAATATTAGCTGCAGCAGTTGCTGCTAATCAAGATATTATTGAACATGGTTATGAAATAGAAAAAATTTCAAAGTAAATTTTTTTATAGATTGATATTTATTTATAATAGATTAGCGTTTATTTTAGAATATTAGATTTTATCAATATAATGACTTAGTAAGTTTATTCAGATAATTAAATAAATGCGAAATTCTTAATTTTATTTTCCTAGTGATTTTCATGGTGCATGGCAAAATTATACAGGAATTCATGCGCCATTATATCGACGTTATGATGAACTTGATCGAGATGGAATACTTAATCAAGTCTGAAATTAAATTTTTTATTTGTATTTTAAAAAGAGATGTTTTTTTATAGGATTTTGGTATTACAATATGGTTAAAAAATGGTGCACCAGCACATAAACTTGTTCTTGGTGTTCCATTATTTGCTCGAAGTTTTTTATTAGCACAATCTGATAAAAATAAACTTCGATCACCAACAATTGGAAATGGTACTGCAGGTCCATTTACACGTAGTGCTGGTTTTCTTTCTTATTTTGAAGTAAAATAAATACATCATTTTTTATAATAATATTTATATTTTATCTGATATATATAAGGTTTGTCTACTACAAACAGATATAAAATGGCAAAAACGTGTTGTATCCGATGGTTCAGAATCTGAATATATGTTTAAAGATCGTGAATGGATATCCTATGAAACAATTGATAATATTCGAAAACGTGCTGCTTACGTAGTTGCTAATAATTTAGGTGGCATGTTTGTTTGGTCTCGTATGTTGTCTTTAGATTAATATTCATTATTTATTATTTCATTTTTAGTTGATATGGATGATTTTAATGGAGCATTTTGCAATAATGGTACATATCCATATATTAAAAATTCTTTAGCCCTTTTACCAACAACTATGCCATCATATGTTTAAAAATTATAGAAAAAAAAGTATCATACAATGTGCCTTTGGATATAAATAAACATCTATGATTAAACTGAAATTTAGAATTATAATTGTATTGTTCAGTATTTTCTTGTTTGTATATACTCATTGACATTGGTTTTATAACTATGTAAATCTAATAGATTTCAAATAAAGACTAGATTAATTGATCTCATATGACATTTGATTATGAAAAGAATTTAATCAACGCAATACAAATAAGTAATTAAGATGTATATATATAGTTGAAAATTAAGACTCTGTATGTTCATCTCAATGGAAATAGGTAATATGATCCACGTGCACTTTAAATCATGATGTTACTTATGAAAAGAAAATAAGTCGGTGTAAATAGAATAATTTAGATATTAAAAAATAATACAAAACTATAATTAGACTGCACTTATTTTCTTACAAAAAAAATTTTGTATAACTAATTATTATAAGTATTCATTGTATATCTAACTATTAGTTTCAAGGATATTTACCTAGAAAAAAATAAAATATATGGACTGAAAAGATATTTGTCCCTAAATTCAGTTATAAAATAGGATCTCAAAGTTCGATTTGACAATAATAGATTTATCTTTAATTTCCTACTCTTTTATCGCTTGAATATGTCACATCTAATCACTCTATTGAGAGAATTAAGGCTTGTGACATGTTTGCATTAACTTTTCTACAGATTTTTTTAACCTTTTATCATCTTATTGTATGTATATATATATAACTCTGTATATGACAGTACGTGCTATTTTTAATTTTCTAAAGTATTCTTTAATTTGTCATAATTAAACAAAAAAAAACGTTTATTTAGACAGGAAATTCTATTTTCTAAATGTAAAAAAGAAAAAGTCATTAATTTTATTTATTTTTAAACGAAGGTTTTCTTTTTATAACAGCTGTAGTAATCATATTCATCCATATATATATATATGAACGACGTAAAAAAAGTATGATTATAAAAATAAACTCTGTTTCTTTTCAAAAGTCACATTCTTTTTTATCTATTAATAAATTATTATAACTTCGCTGAACAATAGCATGATATGTCATGTCTATTAAAATGAGTATAATGACATTTTTGTTCCTTGTAATTAAATATCATAATCGCATACTTGTAAAAAGTCAGAGATAAACTTCATGTTCTACATGATCAAGTTCAATGTGCTCCAAATCTGGAGTTTACGGATATCTAAGTATTCGCGAAAAACTCTGGACTGTACTGAGTCGACTGATGATGCTCAAGGAAAAAAAAGCACATAGTTACAAGCTGCAATTTGTCGGACAACTTGACCGGATGATATTATATTTTTTTCTATTTCTAATATATATACGTGCCTTATATTTGTAGTTATTTATGAAGTATGAACAAGTTCATTGTTCTATTGTGTATAGCACTTGTGAATGTGGGAATGATATTTAATTATTTATATTACATATTATTAAAATAGTCAAGGACAAGAAAGAGGATTTT